GGTCACTTGGATTGATACTTGAAGTGTTTGAGTTCTTAGAATAAATTCGTCTTGAGTCCGGATAAATTATTTCGAGTTGTTTGAACTATGCATCTATGTGAGAAATGTGAGACCTTGAGCAAATATTCCACGTACTTGTTTTCTTATCCATTTATGTGCTTATAGTTCTAAGTTGCTTGGGGACAAACAACGGTTTAAGTTTGGGGAGATTTGATTGGTCGAAAAAAGTGTGTATTTTATATATTAATTAGCGTATTTTTATATGCTTGATGTTATCGCACTTATATATTTTTCAGCTTATTTATTTATTAGATGGATTAAAGTGCTTTGATATTTTTATGTTTTATTTTTAGGAAATTGGAGTATTTTCGTGGAGGGAGTATGTAGTATCCATTATGAGCCCGATTTTCAGCCCAATTTAGGCCCGAACGTGAAAGAAGATCAAAGGCCCATCAAATGGTAGATGTATATTAAAAAAAAACTAATTGGTCATTAGTCACGTATGTGAGTTTTGGTGGGCCAGGGAGATCATCATAGGAATTGTTTGGCAAGAAAGAAAACACAAAGGCCATATATAATTCACGCACAGCAACACAAAAAGGGATTCACGAAATAGCAGCCGCAGGAGAAAAGAAAAGGGACAGCGCACGGAACAGAACTTGAAGACGCGAGGAACCCGATCAAGAGCGGAGGGAGGCCGCACCCGTACACGAGGGAGATAATTAATCTCTCTCTTTTATCTTTTTATTTTTATTTATTATGTTAGAGTAATTTTTATTCTAGTTCCGGGGATGTCGAACCCTACGACTTGATGATGTTTGATTAATTTATGGTTGATTATTGAGTTATATTTTTGGAATTGTTTGTGTTATTTTGAATAATTAACCATGATGTGTTGAGTTTGATTTAGATTGATCACCTAGATTAGGCTTTACATATCTACACCTGAATTAGGCCTTCAATCCGTAATTGTTGATGTGTTTAATCGCAAGTGGTATCCGGAAGATGGTAACTACCGGGGATAACACGACCTATTTAAGTGAACGAACGCGTCACTACTTAGTCTAGCCTATTTTTCTAATGCGTAAAGCGGCTGATTGAATTAAATTTAGGAAGCGTTTCCTAGACTGTTCAAGAGGTCAGATTTAATCGTAGAGCGTCTCGCGGTTAGATTAAAAATAAGGAAAAATTCGGGTAACAGCCCGTGGCGTTACCTAGGGCTAGTAATTTCATAAGATAGCGAGATTTGATACCAAGGTTGATTAGACGAGTCAGTCGAGGGTGTAGACGGAACCGTGAACTAGAAATTTCTCTTATTTATTTTATATTTATTTTTATTTCCTTTCTTTATATTTTTAGGATATTTAGTTAGTTTAATTATCAAAACCCATTCCCCCCATTTACCGCTTTTATAAATTCAATTAATACAAGAAAATTCACAATTTGATTCACACTCCCTGTGGGTTCGACCCTTGCTCGCCACTACTACTAGTTAGTAGAGGTTTGTCGGGGAAAAATATAAATATTAATTTGCCGCGTTGCGACGCGCGGTCAAATTTTGGCGCCGTTGCCGGGGAGTAGTGTTATTGAATTGTGATTTTTAAGTACTAATTGAATTATTATTTTTTTTTAGGATTTTATTTTTTTCATCTTTTACCCTCTATTTTTCTTTGTTTTTATTTTTCTTGCAGAATACTGGGCTCCCCCATACTGCTGGACAGACCCCCATACTCGTGAGAATAACTTGTCTTAGGGCGATTTTATCGAGCTTGGCGCAATTTTTCGAGATGGCAACCTATTATCACGACTTTTATACCCACCAGACACCTTGCCAATATGAGAGGGAGATGCGAGGCCCGTGGATTGGAGATCGAGACGTAAGAGGACCTAGTGGTTGGCAAAGGAACGAGCAAGACTACTTCTATACCGATGAGTATGGATACCACTTGAGAGAGCACTCGAACTCTTTCTATGGGTACCCCGAGCCACCAATTGCGCAAGATCCCAGCCCGTCTGTGGAGGATATGGTGAATGCATTCGCGGCTAACACGTTAAGATTTCGGCAAGAGTTCTGCGAGCCATTAATTGAAAGAGATCCTGGTCCATCGCTCGAGGATATGATGATGGAGTTGAAGGCTCACACCCTTAACTTTCAGCAAAGTGTTGAGATGAGCATCAAGAGCCAAGAGGCGAGCATCAACAACCAAGGACTACGCATAAGGAATTTACAAGTTCAAATGAGCCAACTGGCGGAACAAATGGACCGACTAGGGTGTCGGCTCGAAACAAGTCCGATGAGTTCAAGCGTCACTCATTTGTGTAGCGAGGACCTCGAGGAACCGGAAGAGGGCACATACGAGTCGGAGAACGAAAAAATCACGAACACAGAGGAAACGGAGTCGAAGCAGCCCAGTACGGGGGTGCCCCATACTCTGCCTGATGTACCCCGTACTGGACCTGCTGAAGCCGAAAAGAGAACCGTTCTTCCCGCTCTTGTGCCGATAGAAGCTGAACCTTGTCTTGTCTCTTCCAATATGAAATGGGTGTTGAGTAAAGATGCACTAAAGCATGTCTTGAGCCTTAATATCCACTCTCTTGTGACGATCGAGCCAAACGAAAGGTGTGAGTGGGAGTTTAATGAGACAATGGATGTGATTGAGCACGGGCTGCTACATATTTTTGAGGGACCAGCTCCATGGAGGAAAGATCCGGTGAAGCATCCAACATCGGAGAGTGGGAATTTCGTCAAGCATGGTGTGGTGAGATTTGTGGCTCCCTTGAGGCCACCTCCGAAGCCGCCATGGACCCTTTGATGAAAAGAAAGTAATAAGTCGGGCCAACGACAATAAAAAGAGGCGCTTGTTGGGAGGCAACTCAATGGTGTGCATGGTTTGGAGCCATCCTCTACGTTGACTAAGGTGAACTCGTTTCTTTTATCTATGTTTTTGTTCTTTTATGATATTTGAGCGTCAATGATATATGCAAACTCTAAGTTTGGGGAGGTGGTTTCTTGGTGAGCATTCATATTTATTATGTTATTATATTTTTTCCCCTTAGAGTTTGAGTTCTTAGATTAAATATTTGAATGATATTTGTTTGTCTTGTGTGAGTTTGAGATTGCATGTACGTGGAATTTTGCGATGATGATACGAGAGTTGGTTTGGATTTATTGTGCTAGTTTAAATGGCTTGAGTTGATTTTATTTGGTTAAATTCT